GCGAGGTAAGCTCCCCCTATTGGAAGAGGAAGAATGTCCTCGGATTATTTGGAATTCTTCTGTAGGGAAAATTTGTCTAGTCTCTCCCATTTATTTGTTCAACAACTTATTTATATCAGTAAGACTCGTATATTTATTTTATACTTTGCGGTATGATCTAATACTATGTTATTTGTTTTGTTCCTCAACTTGTTCTAGGTTTGGCCATTGGCAGCTCTTTCAGGTTGACTCCGGGGTCTGAAATGATCCCATCTGGGCATTAACTTAATTTAAAAATAACATGTCCCCTCCTGCCAATTGTGGGGTCCATCGGAGTCCGCAGACAGCTGCCCACTGGCCTTTGAGCCCTGAACCCCACTCTGTGACCCACGGCCTGTGCAGTCTCCCAGGCTTTTACGAGGGCCTTATGTCCTTCAGGGCTGCGAGGGAGAGAGTGCATGAGGCCACCTCCCCCCACTCTGAGCCACTTCCTGTGTCCATTCCTGCTCACCAATGGGGCCATCAGGTAGCCAAGTTGCTTTGGGAATGGGATTCAACCTGGCATGGGGGTTAAGGGCACAGAGTCTGGACTGAGACTTGCTCAGGTACTTGGTGACCAGGTACCTGACCTTGACCTGCCTTTGCAGCCTAGATTGCTGTGGGTCTGCAAACTGCAGGCTTATTCCCTGCTGGACCAACAGCTTTGTCAGTGGTGGTGGCAGCAGCCATAGCATAGCCACAGAGCTACGGTAGCCCTCGGGCCAGGCCAGGGTCAGGAACCAGGAAGGCCTGACTCAGCTACCATGCCCAGCACACCCAGGTGGCCCAGCACTAACAGGAGGAAGGCCTGGCTAGCTGCTTCCTGCACCCCTTACCTCACCCGGCCCCAGCTCCACCCAACACAGGCATGTCTCGCTGATGCTCAGAGGGCCAGGACTCAGAGGGGAGCCAGCTCTCCTGCAGCAGCAGAAAGAGCAGAGCAGGCCAGGCTTGAGACCCCAGAGCAAGCTTCCAATTTTGCCAGTGCCTCTCTCTGTCTCCCCACAGTTCCTGGCTGGGAGTCAGGAGGCCTGAGTTCAGGGCCGGCCTCTACCAGTGACGACAATCATGCCACACCCTGCTTAAAACCTTCAATGGCTCCCTATTGCCCTCGATTTAAAATCACCATTCCTGGATCTGCCTCATAAGGACCTGGACTCCTCTCCAGCGCCCCCCGTCACACCTTAACACCACATTGCTTGTGGTTCCCTTGCACACTCGTGCGGTTTCACACCCCCACTCTTTCTCTGCCTGCATCACCCCCTCCCACTGCTTCCCTGGTTAATTCCTTTTTTTTTTTTTCCTTTTTGTCTTTTTTTTTTTTCGTGTCCGGCAACGGATTGCAACCCTCAGTGTCGCGCCTGTACCGGACCGGGACCGGCAACGGGACCGCAAACCTCAGTGTTGCACCCGCACCTCGCTCAGCCAGTGAGCGGGAACCGTTCTATATGTGGGATCCGAACCCTCGGCAGGAGCGCCACTGTGCTCCCAAGCGGCGCACTGCAGCAGTGAGCCACTGGGCCGGCCCTTCCCTGGTTAATTCCTACTAGTCCCTTATGTACCAGCTCTGAGGTCACCTCCTCCAGGAAGCCTTCCTCCTGGGCCCCAGATCATCTCTGCTCACCTAGCCGAGTCCCTGGTCACCTGTGTTCAACACCTTCCTAAGCCCCACCACGAACAATCTCTGACACGCAGGGCAGCAACCTGGCATAGTGGGGAAGGCTTGGAGTTTGAAATTGGGATTATGGCTTTCCCTCAAGGCATCTGCTGTGTGACTTTCGGCAAATCACTGAACATCTCTGAGCCTCCTTCTCATCTATGAGGAAAGCATTTTGTCTACGGCCATATCACCCTGAATGCGCTGTATCTCGTCTGAGAAAAGCATCTCATTAGGATTCCCGGTCCTGCTTTCAATTCTGGCCTCTGCCCCTGACTTGCTGTGTGGCCTTGAGCAAGCCCAGTCACTGGGCTCAGTCTCAGTTTTCCTCTTTTGTAAAATGGGGCCACCCACAAAACTCAGAGTGCTGAGGCTCCAACAAGCCAAAACCTGTGAAAAGCTTTTGTAAACCTGAGTCCTCCGTGGAGGGTTGAAGAATCTATTGGAGTCGTGTGGGAGGAAGGCCGACTGCTGCTCTCACGGTTCTCCTGCCTCCCAGCCTTCCAGAAGCTCCCTGGCCCCCTCCCCACCTCCCACCCACCCTTGCTCGCAGGGTTACAGACACGTGTGCTTTCCACAAGAAGCTATTTAAACAAGCTTGGGGTTGGGGGAGCCATCCGCCTCCCACTCCCCACACGGGAGGCCCCTCAGATCCCACTGCTGCTCTCAAGACTGAAAGTCAAGATCAATTTGAACCATCTGCAGCTTTATTCAGAGCAGAAATAAGTCATTTTCTAACAATAAATATAAAAAATAATAATAAATTAAGTTTCAAAAAAAATACCCAACAAAACAAATCATTAACACTGACAGAGTAGTAAATGTCTAAAGAGGTGAGAGATGGGGAGGACCGGGAAATGGGCAGGAACCTCCTGCAGCACCGGTCCCCAGCCCGGGAATGTCTGACGCAGGCCTCTGTCCCCAGCCCTGGCGGGGTCCCCCTGCCACACACACATTCTCTCCACAAAGTACAAAATATATATTTAAAAATGCCTCAACACAACCAAGCATCCTGTGAGGGCCCCAGGAAGTTTGGCCTAGTAGGGCCGAGGACAGGGCCTGGGGGTCTGAGAAAAGCATCAGAGGGACGGGGCCACTTTGGGTCTCACCCAGCCAAGTTCACTGTCTGCCCTCTTCTAGTGAGGGTGTGGGGCTTGAGGTACCCTGTTCATGCGGCCATGGGCTGACCCCCCTCGCCCAAGATGGCCTCTTGTGGGAAAAGGCGAAGTGGTGGTCACTTTGGAAATGTTCCACGTGTATGTCCAAAGGCTTGGCGGGGCTCCTGCCCCAGGGGATGCTGGGAACATGGAGGTGCCTGCTAAGTGCTTAGCCATCTGTCCCTTGTAGGGGAACAGAGCCCTGGACCAGGATCCCTGAGCATTTCCTCAGTTCAGGCCAGGGTGTCGTCCAAGACCCCCCAGTAGAGGCCTCAGGGTGGCATCAATAGAGAATGAGTGGAAATAAATAAGGTCCCCAGTGCCCCAGCGCAGAGCTGGCAGGGAGGCCACTCTGTTTCTTCAAGTATTCTTGGCCGAAGGGGCGCAAGGTCCTGTCGGGGCTCAGATGGGGATCCCCACTGTGTTCACCTGATCCTTGAGTCCCAGCAGGCTGTAGGCGATGCGCTTCTGGTGGCCAGGCAGCCGCACCCCGATCCTCTTGATGTCGCTGTGGGTGGGGAGGGAGAGAGGGAGACTTAGGGGCTGGAGCCGGGGAGGGGGCCAGGCTGGACGAGGTGCGGTGGGCAGCGGGGGAGAGAGGCAGAGCGGGGGAGAAGGGGTGGACAGACAGGGGGCCTTGGGGACATGTGGGGTGAGAGAGCTCCAGTTAGGGAGGCAAGAGAGGGGGATCCACATCCTAGAATCAGTGCACCCTAGAAGCTCGCTAAGACAGGAAAACGATAGTGCTGGTTCTGTAAGAAGCTCTTTCTTCAAAATCAAACCTTCGCAATTATCTGTGAGGTGGGTGTTCTTTTCACCCCCATTTTGCCGATTCGAGGATTGAGGCTCAGAGAGGTGAAGTGACTTGCCCAAGGTCACACAACTGGGAGGTGGAAGAGCTGGGACACAAACCAGCTATGGATAAACGTCTCTCCTCACCCCACAGTCTGTTCCTAATGCCTCCAGTGACCACGAGGCCAGGACCAGGTCCCAGGGACCCCCTAGGGGTGCTGCTCAAAGCCCCTGTGCCCAAGGTTTCTTCTCATCCACTCTTTCGCCTTGACTCTCTCCAAGTTCCCACTGCTGGTATCTAAGGAAAGACTCGGGAAATACTTGGTGAAGGGCCATCAAGGGTTAAAGCTCTGCTAGTCTCTAATGGGAAGGGCTTGTGGGTCACCAGATCCAGCGACTAGGTCACTTGAGGCCGGTGTCTTCCCTTGTGGGAACCTCAATTTCCTCACCTGTAAAATGGGATAATAGTGCCCAACTGGAGTGTGGGGGACCACAGAAACTGGTGGCAGAGGGGGAGGCAGTATCGGTGTCAGAAAGCTCTCCCACCTCCCGTGAGGTGCAGGCTCCCTGGGTCCCCCCTTTCCACGCCCCTCCATCCCCTTGTAAAACCACTTATGCTCCCAGGAGCCCGTGAGAGGGACATTTATTGCTCACTTTGGGAGTTTTCTCCTCTACCGTCCTCACCCACCAGCCCAAACCCATGAAAACACCCAGGTTTTTATGGGCCGTCTCTTGGCTGTAAACGGAGCTAATTATATGGTACAAGCTCCTATTTGCAATTCCGGAGACATGACTTTCCCACAGGCTCCGGAGCTCTGGGAGAAGTGCTGAGTGGGGAAGGGCAGGCCTGGGGGGGGGGGGGGGGGGGCACAGCTCTAGGACATCCAGGAGGCTGGTGGCTCCCACTGCACCGGGAAGGCCAGAGGTGGACGTTTGGGGGAACTTCCTAGCCTACCACCCGTGTGACATTTCTAACCTACACGGCTGGGGGTGTTGAAAAAAGAAGTGGCATTTCCCCCACGCCTGTAGGTCTTGAACTGCAGGCCCTGGTCAAGCACTCGGACCACCGGGGGAGCAGACATTTCAGAAGATGACAGGATGCTGGGCCCAACACCAAGCTCACAAACTTGAAGTTCTGAAGGTGGGGTGGGGACACTGGGCCTGACCAAGTCCCAGAAGATCCTGATGCATGGTTTAAGAACATAACAGCGGGTTATGTGAGCTCCAGGAGGGCAAGTGCTGGGCCCCTCACCCCCCACCCCCACCCCCCACCCAGAGTGCATAATAAAGCGGGTGCACAGCAGATCCTCAGGGAGTATCTGCTGAATGAATGAGCGAATGAATGCTTTAGTGGGGACTGAGCCATTGCCAGGCCACCTCAGTCCCCTCTCCTAGACTGGAGTGGTTAATCTCACAGGGTGGGAGCTGAGTTTGCTTCTGAGGCCGGATTGGGAGGCAAAAGTGCTGGGAAGGGAGGTGGGAGGCTGAATTCCAGTCCTAGACTCACGTCCAAGCCTTGAGCCCGCCCATCCAGTGCTGTCTTTGTGCCTCAGTGTCTTTATTTGTACAATGGGAGGCTTTGTTTATTTTGTTTTTTTTGTTTTTGTTGTTTTTAAAAGATGATTGGTAAGGGGATCCTAACCCTTGGCCTGGTGTTGTCAGCACCACGCTCTCCCAAGTGAGTGAACCGGCCATCCCTTTATAGGGATCCGAACCCGTGGCCAACACCACACTCTCCCGAGTGAGCCACGGGCTGGCCCTCAATGGGAGGCTTTGATTAGAGGCTCCTGAGCAGCCTGTCCCTGGCCCCTACTCTTTCAACAGAAAGCCCCCCAAACCTACCCTTTCTTTCCTGATCACAGAGTGACACACTGGGACGAGGGTCACAGACCAGCCAATGCCTGTGGTCTATTGCAGACCATCCTAAGCTTGTTCCTGCCCTAGCCTCAGTTTCCCCCTCAGGGATGCAGGGCACCCACTGTCATCAACTGCCCTGATGGGAGCAAAGGGTCATGTGACTGAGGCCACCTTTGCACCATCTGGTCTTTCTCCTGAACACTCACACTAGCTCTGGCCCTGGGAAATTCCATGGTCATGTGCCCAGTGAGCACCTACTGTGTGCTGGCCCTGGTGGAAGGAGAGGGGAGTGAGAAAAGCCTCACTCGCCCAGCAAGCATTCCTTTAGCACCAAGCCTGTGCTGAGGGCAGGCAGGCGAAACCGTAAGCCCCTAGCGCGAGCCTGCAGGGCCTGCAGCACCTGCGCAGGACGCCGTGTGCTGCACACTGGCCAGGGCCTGCTGTGGGGCTGGGCACTTTTCTGGGGAGGTAACATCCACCCCTTTCATCAGCTCCTCAAAAAACATTTAGAACTAGTCTAGCTAGAAACCCACCCAACTCCAAATAGCGTGGTAAATGCCCAAGCTGGGAAGAGACAGCAGCTGTGGGATCAGAGGGGAGCAAGCAGCCAGTCCCGTGGGAGGGGGTCAAGGAAGTGGGGAGACCAAGTGGGGCATTGAAGCCTAAACCCTGAAGCCATCTCAAAACAGATGAATTCTCCTGTGACCCGCTCAGCGCCTGCCATGGGGACTCACAGCGTGTGCAGACACAGTCTTCAGGTTTAAAAAAGTGCTTTGAGATCCCATCTATTAGGCAAGAGCAGCAGGGGAAAGGAGGGGCAGCGGTGGCGTAAGTCACACGGGCCCCAGCTCTGAGCCCCAGCAGGCTGTGGGAGGAGGGGGGGGTCACTGAATGACTTCCTGCCTTTATCCAGGCCCTCTCAAAACAACACACACACACATGCGCACACACACAGACACACACACAGCCTCCATCCATCCAGAAGAGCCCTGTCCCTGCTCCTGGGAAAGGAATTGGCGCGCACACAGACACACACAGCCTCCATCCATCCAGAAGAGCCCTGTCCCTGCTCCTGGGAAAGGAATTGGCGAGGAGCACCCCGGGCTATTTCGGGAAGCTTCTAACAACATGTGTTTCCTGTAAGCACTTCTTGCCCTCTGCTCTGGTCACCAGAAGAGAAGCTGTCCTTGGTGGGAGTCCCTGAGGGGCAAAGGGGGCTGTTGCAGGATCCCATGGAAAAGGAGGGAGCTTGGGAACCCTGGCATTTGCCCATGGCCTCCAGGCAGAAGGCAAGGGAGTGAAGGAAAAGAGGAAAGCGACACGAATCAAAGTCCTGCCATGTCCCAGGGGTGTTGTCCGCATTGCCCCCATGCAACCCCACCACAGGAAACAAAACCAAGGCTCAGAGTTGGACCTAACTTGATTGATCAAGGTCACCTACAAAGTGGCACCCGTGGGACTTGAACCCCAGTGTGACTGCACAGCCCAAGCTTGTGGCCCTGCCGCTGGCTGGCAGCAAAAGATATCCTGGGACCCGTCTCCCCTCTCACATCTCTGTGCCCCCTTTGGTCAGCTCTGCCCCACCTGATTCCCATCACAAACCCTGGGGCGGGTCATAGCAGGTCAAAAGCCCAGCTGAGCAGCTTCCTGAGGCCCTGGAAAATGTTCGTGCACAGGCCCAAATCCCAGAACTTCTGTAACCCAGAACAGCGGGAGGCCCAGTTGCTGCCTCTGTGGGCTTCCCAAAACCTCCCACCCCAGAGACTGTTCCTGCCATGACCTTGGACCCTGCCCAAGCTGAGCTGTGGGGACCCACCACTATTTTTAGAAGCACAAAAGGTTAAGAAGATAATGTCTTCTCCCTCCTGGGACGGGAGGAGGTGTCTGAGCCAAGGCCATGCCGGGAAAGGTCCCAATGCTGGAACTGGCAAGGAGAGAGGAACTCCCGGGGACAGCCTGACAAAGGACCAAGCCCAGGACTGGCAGGGGGAAAGCGGCACTTCTCCCCAGGCCAGTCTGTAGGGCTGAGACACAACCAAGTGGGAGAAGTGCCTGGGAGGGGTTGGCCAGGGGCTCTCTCTCCTGGGCATCAACCAGGGCATCCTGGAGAGGAATGCCTCCCCTAACTGGCCAAGTGACCTCCAGCAAGCTAGATAACCTCTCAGCCTCAGTTTCCCCACTGATGACCTCTATAGTCCCTAAGCTGTGGACCCTGAATGACCAGGGCTGGAATCCTACTCTGCCCCAAGTGGCTGTGAGATCCTGGACAAGTCACTGCACTTCTCTGCACCTGTCTCTCACCTGTCCAGTGGGGACATGCTCAGGACCTACCCCACTGAGTTCTCATGAGGACTGATTTAAAGTGCTCAAGCACAGAGCTGGCCATAGTCAGCCCTCAGTAAATGGCAGCTACTGTTAGCATTACAACTACTATTATTTTCCCACTCTGGAAAAAGATGCAGAAAGGGGAAGGAGCCGAGGGTGGGCGCCCAGAATTGCTGGCTGTCGCCTGGTTCTGCTCCTCCCAAGGAGCCTCTCTCCCCCAAGAGAAAGAGAGAGAACAAAGAAGGTGGGGAGAAGCTTGGGTGGTGGGGTCAGAGGCAGCCTCAGCAGGTGGGAGGCAGGCAGGTGGGGACAGGGTGGGGTCCGACTCACTCGCTGGTCATCTGCACCACCTTCTCAATGGCGGTGTAGCCAGCCGCCATGAAGTGCTCTGTGTACTGCTGCATTTTGATGGACTCCAGCCACTCAGACACTGTGCGGAAGGGCACCCCCTCCGAGCCGCTGGTGCTGGGCAGCCGGATGGACACCCTGTAATGGGAACCACCAGCCAACGGTGAGGGGCTGCAGCACCCCGTCCCGCCCACCCTGGACCCCGAGCCTGCTGCTCCCTAACCTGCGCCATTCATTTGGCTGCCCTGTGCCTCAGTTTCCTCATCTGGGCAGCAAGGTAGCCAAATCAAGGAGGGTTCAGTGAGACAGCTGGCATATTGGGATCGCTCCATGTTTATAGCTACTGCTGCTCTCCCCTCCTACTAACGAAACTACACCAATATCCACTGAATAATGAAATGTTATGAGCAGAGATTCAGGATCCAGGAGTCACAATCCCAGCCTGGCCACTTTCCAGCCCTGCAACATATTTAATCATTCTGTGTCTCAGTTTCCTCATCTATGAAAAAGGGTAATCATGGGACCCATCTTGTAGGTTGTTTAAATGAGTTAAAACACGTTAACTAAGCGCGGTGCCCGGCACATTCACTGTAGAAGTTGATTGCTCCAGGTGCACGGCAGCCCACCCTGTGCAGTCTAAGCAAACCCCATGCACAGCTTCTGAGCACCCCTCCTGCCCCCCGACATCCCCTGGTGGGCCACTGTACCAAAGTAGCTCAGGAGTCTGCGGGAGTGCAGCTGCCCCCCTCCCCCGTGCCCCGGGCAGAAGACATGGAACTCACCGAGGGTCAAAGTCAGCCAGGGTCTTGAGGGAGTCAGGAGCTCGGATGAGCTTGTCGAGGATGCTGACAATGTCGGCGAACTTGGGGCGGCGGGCGCGCTCCTGCTGCCAGCACTGCATCATGAGCTGGTAGATGGCAGAGGGGCAGTCCATGGGCGTGGGGAGCCGGAAGCCGTCATTGATGGCTTTCATCACCTGAGGGGTGCATGATGGTCAGGGGTGCGGCCAGGCCCCCAGGGCCCCAGCATATGCAGGTAGGTAGGGGAGGGGAGGGAAGGGAGCCCCAGAAACAGATGGATGGGCCTCTCTTAAGTCCAACACACAATCTTCAGAGCTGTACAAAAGACAGGTGCTAAGGGGCTATCTCCAAAGTTTCGCAGATGGACTCTGACCCTGCTCCCTCACAGGGCACCCCAGGCGGCAGCCACACTGTGGACCCCGTGGCCCAGCCTCCCAGCCTCCCTCCTGTCTCTGGACTTCCCCTCCGTCTCTTCACCTGGACATCTTACTGCATCCTTGGTCTCAACAGAGATGTGACCACCTCTGGGAAGCTTCCCAGGCTTCCAGGCTGGGTGAGGCACCTGGCACACGAGCACACACACACGCACACACATGCACACACGTGAATGCACACGCAGGCACGCACACACAGATACACACACATCCCACACTCCTTGTTTCCTTGTCTTTGCTCTCTCTGAACTATAAGCAGGGACTGGATCCTGGAACCCAGCACAAGGCCCAGCACATAGTAGGTCCTCAATAAACATTTACTGAGTGAACCTAAGAATGATCTGTAGCAGATGAAGATTAGTCCCCAAAACTTCTCTGTCCAGCCCCTGGGGTTTAGGGATGAGTAAAGGGTTCAAGTTCAGGTCCAGGCAGGCCTGGGCAGGGCAAGGGGCCCACCTCATGGTTCGACAGTTCCCAGTAGGGCCGCTCGCCGTACGTCATCACCTCCCACATGACAATGCCGTAGCTCCACACGTCACTGGCCGAGGTAAACTTGCGGTAGGAAATGGCCTCTGGGGCTGTCCAGCGGATCGGGATCTTGCCGCCCTGTAAAAGACCCAAACCCAGTCACCACTGTCCCCTCTGGCTGGGCACAGGACTGTCACAGCCAGGTCTCGGGGCTCCTCCTCCGTGTTCCTATAGGCGTCCTTACCTCCTGAGGTCCACGCCCAGGTGTGCAGGTGAGAGGACCCCAGAGAAGGGCCAAGACTGCTTTCCCCTTGAGGGCTCCCACCCCCAGTTGTGACAGTCCCTCCCCCAACTCACACTGGTGGTGTAGGTGGCCTCGGGGTCATCCTCCAGCACACGGGACAGGCCAAAGTCAGACACCTTGCAGACCAGGTTGCTGTTGACAAGGATGTTGCGGGCGGCCAGGTCACGGTGCACGTAGTTCATGTTGGCCAGGTACTTCATGCCGGCCGCGATGCCCCGCAGCATGCCCACCAGCTGCAGCACGCTGAACTCCCCGTCCTTCTCCTGCCAGAGCACAGGCCCTCAGACATAGGCTCTCAGCCGCCAGCCAGCCTGAGCCCACGTCCCCACCCACCCT